AGGATGGTCTCAATCTCTTGACCTCGTGATCTGCCTGCCTCGGCCTCCAAAGTGCTTGGGATTACAGGCATAAGCGCACTCGCGCCAGCCATAGATACTTCTTTATAAATTTTTCCCTACAGATTATATTTTTTTTTTTTGAGACATGAGTCTCTTCTTTGACACCCAAGGGCTGGATGTGCTTCAGTGGTCCGATCTTGGGCCCACCGTAACCTTCGCCCTCCCGGGTCCAACCAATTCTCTGCCTCAGCACCCGGGTGGCTGGAATTACATGGCATGTGCCTGATGCCCAGCTTAAATTTTTGTATTTTTATGTACAGGACAGGGTTGTCAACCTGTTGGCCAAAGCTGGTCTAATCCTGCACACCTAAAGTGATCTCACCGCCTGCACGCTCCCAAAGTTGCTGGGGATTACAGGCTGAGATCACCATGCCAATGTCCCTATAACGTATACATTTAGATATGCCCCCTTTTGGATAAAAATGACATTATTATAACATTAGAGGAAAAAAACATACATTTTGAGTTTTTTCATTATAATACTATAGTCTATATCTTTGGAATATCACTCGATTTCCAGATAGAAATATATGAGACTATCACTAAAAATATATTTGTATATAATAGTGTATTTTCTCATTAAACTATTAAGTAATGTAATAAATCCACATGCAATAAGTTCAGCCACTGTTCCTTACCTCCCCAACCACATTTGGCCCCACTTCTTTATTAGTTCACAATAATCCAGTGACACTGCCCTTCTTTGGGCTCTTCAAAACTACCAGACTCTCCAGCATCAACACATGCAATACCATGCATTACTCTCTAATGCTAATCGGCTAATGTTTAACAGGATCCTACCCTAAATATATGGCCCTCAGAGATGCCTTCCCTGACCGAAAGCCCTGAAAAACTTGGGCTCCACCGTGTAGGGTGATGTGGAGAAGCTTCCTGATGTCAGAGAAGCCTGGGTTCCAATCACTCATCTGACAACATGGAGTTACGCTACAGCACAGATACATGGCTGCGCAGTTAGAGAAAAGTTCATACACAATGGAAATAATTGCCAATAGTGTGTGTGCATCGGCTGGTTAAAAAGATTAGCCAAGGCTTTCAGAAGTGCTCTCCTGTACAATCTCTGCTGAGAGGCTTAGGGAATTGTTAATATACTGCTGATAAGATAAGAGAAAATAACTCTCTTAAGGGGGACTCCCAGCATGGCCTGATTCTTCTGATTCTTTTCTTTTTTTTTTTTTTTTTTTTTTTTTTGTGGAGACGGAGTTTCACTCTTGTCACCCAGGCTGGAGTGCAATGGCGGCGATCTCAGCTTACGCACCTCCACTCCCCGGGTTCAGCGATTATCCTGCCTCAGTCTCCTGAGTAGCTGGGATTACAGGAATGCAACACCCACATCCCGGCTAATTTTTGTATTTTTAGTACAGAAGGGGTTTCTCCATGTTGGTCAGGCCTGGTCTCAAACTACCGAACCTGGGGTACCATCCGCCGCCTCAGCCTCTCCCCAAAGCGCTGGGATTACAGGCATGAGCCACTGTGCCCAGCCTGGCCTGATCTGTTTCCATCAGCCTTTTATCTTTAGCTGGTCAACACACTTTATATA